TCATGGAGGGTGAGCGCTGTCATGTCCATCCAATCCCCATCCAGCGAAGGTACGAAGCCATCGAAGAGGAGGTGGTCATCAATCGCGATGCACTGGAGTTGGTGGCTGGTGATGAAGAGGCCTCAGCTTCAATGACCAGCATCTTGTGACACCAACTGTCATGATCTGTCATGCACCAAGTGGTGTGATTTCCTTCATTATCTTCATTCAAGTTCCAGCATTCGACCTTGTTCCAAGTAGAAAAAGGTTGAGGTTTTTGTGCGCCAAGGGGCCACCTCCATTGGACTCCATCGGTCCATGCTGTGGGTGTGGAGGTGATGAAGCACCCGGAAATCCTTCAGGGTCTTCTGTTGCGCAGTGCGCGCATCCACCGGCCTGGTGGGGGGCCCTGGAAAGATCCAAGGTCCGTCCTAGGGTCCTTCTCGGGTCCTGCTGGGTCCTAGGGATGAGTCTGTCTTGGCCAATTTTCGGTTACATGACCCGGAAAAAGACCTACAGAAAAATAGGAGAGCTGTACAATGTTTGTCACAGGAAGATGGAGGAAACGATGGAAGCACTGAGCACTTTGTGTGACGTGGAGACACAATCAGTTCATGTCAGGTCTGATCGTGATGGCTTCTGAAATCCAAAAACTAGACCGGACTAACCAGACTGGGCTCATTTTGCACCAACTGAAGATCTGCAGGATCTACAATCTATACAATAGATTACAATAGAATACAATAGACATATTTGTAGGATCTTGCCATCGCTTGCCGTCGCTTGCCATCGCTCAGTTCCTCCACCCAAGCGTTGCAAGCGCGACTTAGATGAGCAGCTTGGCAGCACACGGCGAGCTTTTGCCATTTTTGCCATGGCCCGTTGACCATTTTCCAAGAAAACGTCAACTTGGACTTGGGGTACAGAGGAAATAAGAAAGATAGTGTACTGATGTGTAGTGTATCTCAACAGGTTAAGCCGTTAAGCCATTTTTTCAGATTTGTTAAAACTCCCATGCTGATCTCAGGGCAAAGGTGCGACCAGACAAGCTGAAGGTGGGGCCAGCTTTAGTTCAAGTAGTGCAAGTAGCCTCTGAAATGGTAAGGCTGGTAAGGCATGGCTTCCATTGACCGAGGAACCATGGCACTTGGTTCAGCAAGTCCCCGCCTTGCACTTGCCACAGGTGGCCAAGACGCGTGCGGGAGGCGCTTAACATGCTCACAGGCTGAGGGATGCTGGATGTGGATGGGATGTGGCTCAAACAGACAAAAAATGGTGGAAACATGTGGAATCAACTGGAAAGTTCCTGAGGAATTGGTAGCTCGCTTCAGAGGCCCAGGAACAGTAAGATGACGATGTGCTTTGAAAAAGATGATCTTGGACTCGACAAAAAATGTCTGGAAATCACACCTGACTTTTGCCAGCGTCCTTCATGTGCGCACTAGTCCTGATAGTCCTGGAAGCTTGGGTTGGCTCGCGGGATAATTCGATTTGCTCATTGCACACGTTGCGGGTGACCTATGCGACCAAAGCATGTCAACCATATCCAGGGGTCCACACCTGATAGTTTGTGTTCGTTCTGTTCGTTCTGGGGTTGCACAAACCTGTAGCTTCACTTCTGAAATCAGCTACTTTGGTGGATGTTGGCATTTGGACATAGCAATTTGCGCCTTTGCCATTCACTAAAACTTGTAAGAAGGCTTTGAAGAACAGGGCTTGTATCCAAGATATAGAAAGTCACTAGCTGCTGGTTCCCTACTGGTTCCCTACTGGTTCCCTACCAAACTGGAGCTTTGGGATCCCCCGAAGTTCGAGAAATCCACTCCTTCAGCAGTGCTTTCCTGTACTGTGGTGCTGCGGCAGCGAAGATGTCACCCTTCCAATGTGTCAGCCTTCGGAGCAGTTTTTTGATGCTGCGAAAATTCAACACCAGGATTAGGATGGATTAGGCATCCATTGGCCAGTGGCTGATGCCTCTTTGTCACAATAGACTTGACCACACATCTCGTATCATCTCGTATCATCCAGTTACATGAGGTCCCTATTCAGATCTCATCACGTTTCGGTCCATGAGTCCATGAGCCTAACCCTGGAACACCTTGTGGCAGCATCTCTTGCGGCAAGTTGCTTAAAATTCATCCTGCCGAGAATTTTGGCGGGCCTCGTGGTTGTGCTCATTGCAGCTTGCGCAAGTGCCACGCGAAGAGACAAAAGATGCAAACAAAAGATTAACAAGGTGAATCTATGAGTAGATTGAAAGAAAAATGAACTTAAGATGAACCCTTGTTTGATTGAAAGCTATTCTTTGATTTCTCCTGCCCTGTACTTTGAAAGCTTAGCTAAAGCTACGACGACCTTCTGCTTTGTATTTGCTTCAGTTCTTGGCTTGTCACAGTTCAAAGCAGCACGAGGATGTTTTCTATTGGCTTTGCAACATTTCTTCCCATGAGAGTCTTGTTCGCCATTTAAATATTTAGTGAACTTGTTTGCCTCCCTTCAACTGGCTTCTACCAGCTGTTGCCTTGTGAATGTGGTGATTGGCTTTTAAAGGGTCGGAACAAAGTTGGAAGCAGACCTGGGTTGTTCTATTCACTCCAAGGCCAACTTATATACTTGAGCTAGTGCTATCCGCAACCCACGGTTGGTTTGCTTGATTTCTTTTGCCCAGCCGGCTTTTACCAGCTGTTGCCTTGTAAATGTGGTGATTGGCTTTTAAAGGGTCGGAACAAAGTTGGAAGCAGAGCTGGGTTGTTCTATTCACTCCAGTTCTATTTTATTTGAGCTTGGAGTGCTATCCGCAACCCACAGTTGGTTTTGTCTGATTTCTTTTGCCCAGCCGGCTTTTACCAGCTGTTGCCTTGTGAATGTGGTGATTAGCTTTTAAAGGGTCGGAACAAAGTTGGAAGCAGACCTGGGTTGTTCTATTCACTCCAAAGCCAACTTACTTGAGCGTGGAGTGCTATCCGCAACCCGCAGTTGGTTTTGTTTGATTTCTTTTGCCCAGCCGGCTTTTACCAGCTGTTGCCTTGTAAATGTGGTGATTGGCTTTTAAAGGGTCGGAACAAAGTTGGAAGCAGACCTGGGTTGTTCTATTCACTCCAGTTCTATTTTATTTGAGCTTGGAGTGCTATCCGCAACTCGCAGTTGGTTTTGTTTGATTTCTTTTGCCCAGCCGGCTTTTACCAGCTGTTGCCTTGTAAATGTGGTGATTGGCTTTTAAAGGGTCGGAACAAAGTTGGAAGCAGACCTGGGTTGTTCTATTCACTCCAGTTCTATTTTATTTGAGCTTGGAGTGCTATCCGCAACTCGCAGTTGGTTTTGTTTGATTTCTTTTGCCCAGCCGGCTTTTACCAGCTGTTGCCTTGTAAATGTGGTGATTGGCTTTTAAAGGGTCGGAACAAAGTTGGAAGCAGACCTGGGTTGTTCTATTCACTCCAGTTCTATTTTATTTGAGCTTGGAGTGCTATCCGCAACTCGCAGTTGGTTTTGTTTGATTTCTTTTGCCCAGCCGGCTTTTACCAGCTGTTGCCTTGTAAATGTGGTGATTGGCTTTTAAAGGGTCGGAACAAAGTTGGAAGCAGACCTGGGTTGTTCTATTCACTCCAGTTCTATTTTATTTGAGCTTGGAGTGCTATCCGCAACCCACAGTTGTTTGTTTCCTGAAGTTGTCTAGACTCTTTGCATTTTGACTAGACTCTAGGCCGGAATTGTTCCAGTACACAGTATTTCCATGTCTTTTCTGTGCTGCCTTTGGCCCAGAGCGAAGGGTTTTTTTTGCCATCTCCGCGACGCGACCGTCGTGGAACCTCGACTGCGACCGTCGTGGACGACCCAAAGGCCCCAAGGCCCCAGTGGTTGGAGTGGCATCGACAGCTGTCACCCCTGAGTCCAACCCATGTGACGAAGGATTCAGTGATTTGTTCCTTGCAGAACATGCTTTTTTTGAGGGTGGTAGGGTGTGGGACAAACAAAGGTCACTTCGCTTGCCCGAAGGTCAAGATGTCGCGTCTGGGCACCTGCAACTTCCGGGAAAAGGAGAAAAGCTTCAACACCCAGGAGCTGGCATGAGCTGGAATCTGTTGGATGCAGTTAAGGCATGTTAAGGCTAAGATTGTTCTAAAACTAGAACCCCGCAAAACTGACTGTACCTTGATATGCCAAGCATTCCGGCTGGCTTGAGATACTGCGACTGACTTTGGTCAACTGGAGCTCCAGGAAGAAACTTGGCGCCAAACCTGCGAGAAAGAACGTTTCATCGAGGTGCGGGCGAATTGGGAGTGGTGATATTGGTTTTCCAGTTGTCCTGTCTCTGTGGTGTGCTCATTTTGAAGGCGGGTCATGTCTTCTTCTACTCCGAATGGAACCAAAAGATGAATGTTGAGTCATACTTTCCTGTCTCCAGCTCTCCACATCCCAGCTGCCGGAATTCCTTTCAGCTCTAGATAGCTCAAGGATATTCCACGGATGTGGGCTGCCACCACACTCATCTACCTGGAAGGTGTTAGCTCATCCAGATCAGAGAACATTCCTCGACATTGCGCAGATGTGCCAACCTGAGGGCCCTGAAGAATTTTTGAGTTGGAAAAAAATGGGCACATGCATAGCACTTCCAATTTTCTCTGTGCAATTCTCCAGGCATGAGCAATAGACTCATTCTATACTCATTCTTTTAGGTCTCTAACTTGGAGACCTAATTTTGGTGTGATGAAACTTCACCCAATGGATCATCTTTGATCCCCAATGATCCAATGGTTCCAATATGTTCCAATGATCCGCACCCCGATGATCACAGCAATTTGAGATCAGCCGCTGACGAGCCCGCGGCTGCCACGTTCATGGTAATGATTGATGCGGCTGATGATCATTCGATACACATCAGACTGTTTCTGATACCCAGTTTTGATGCTTTTTGCAGCTATTTGTTGTGGATTTTATATGATTTTATACCAGCAAGAACCAAAGTCAACCTTTCATCTCCTTTGACTCCGGTGCATTAAATATCAGAGCTTGCCACGATTGCCATGGTGGATGCAGAACTGCCACTGGGGCCTCTGGGCCGGCTTTGTTGTAACAGACGAGCACGTGCACGCGGTGAAAAGACATCCGCAGGTGCACCCATAAGCTCAACTGCTACGCCCTGCACCGAAGCCGAACCTGTGCAAAGTACATCGGATGCTCCAGATGATGGTTCCGATGCGAGCAAGGTGGCTGTTGGGATGTGTCGTGTGTATTTGTGGGTGTTAGGTCAATGCGCTCGAACTTGAAGGCCACCTTCATTTGTGAGATTTAAATTTCGTTTGAATTTTAAGGGCTGTTGTACGAGTCTGTGAATTGCTTAGTTCAAAGATGTGCAAAGCTAGCTTGAAAGCATAGCAAAGTGGGTCAGCACCCTCCCACTTCTGTTCATGTGCTTCTCTTGACCAATGCACTTGGAAAACTCATCAAGGCATTGAAACACATTGCGCATTAGCCAAACAGCCCCCTAAAAGACTTTACTTTTTCCGAGAGGGCAATTTGCTGTGTATGTGACTCCCCAATAATGCTCGAAGCACTAGAGTCACCAGAGCCTATGAGGGTTTCATGAGGGAGATTAGAATCTGGCAGCAGTTGTTGCGCAGTGCTCCAGAGCCAAAAGTGGTTTCTTCGTGGCTCATTCCATTGATGGTTCTGACCTAAAAGGCCAAACATTTGCGACTGCGGCTGAGACACAAGATTCTTGATACCCATCCTGTGACATCGTCATGGCTGTCATGGAATCTCCCAAATTTCTCCATATTTCTCCCATTTTTGGGCCCAAAATGGATTTCAGGTTCCAAGAATCTCTAGAAATGCCATGAAATGCCCAAGATGCCAGGAGGTCCCACACTCCGAGAGCTCCTGTCCTGATGAGCGGCACTTGGGTCCAACCACAGGTGCTGCCGCAGGAGCCCACGGACCTCCCAACGGTTCCGCTGAAGGAGTGGAGGAGACTGGCAGCAGCGGATACTTCTCCAATTCCACCAGCAGCGAAAGTGACACTATGCCAGGAAAACTTGAGCAGCTTTTCTTCGGTCTGAATTTCTTTTGGAACGTTGAATATTTGAATGTTTTTGTTTATCCCTTTTGAAAGATCTAAGAAATAGGGCAATCTTGACGAAACTACCATTTTGCCACTGCTTGCCTTCACATCGGATTTACGTCGCCACAATCAGTGGCTAAAATCTGCTGAGGATATGAGTGATCCATGCTTTTGGAAGCCGCAACGTATTCAAAGCGATGCTTGGGCATGAAATTATGTGAACATCACCAGCATACAACTTTGACTACTCAGCACATATATACATACATTATAATATATATAATACATTGTATATATATATACAAATTATATGCTGATCCATCTAAAAGTTCTTGTCAAAAAAATGATTGTGAAGACCGTTCATTTTATTTTTCGAACCCACGCGATGCTTTCTTTCGGCAAAAGTAAAGTGCTTTGTTTTTTGCGCCAAGGTTTTGCGAAGATCATGCATTGCTATGTATGATTCACCCTTATGTTCCGCGACGCTAGCTGCATGTTTACAAGGCTATCATGAAATAAATCTATAATAGTCTGACATATAACGACTGAGTCTTCATAAGGGGCATTGTTGCCTAAAATGGGTCCTAACATGGGTCCCGCGAAAGATAACGGAGTTCCTGAAAGTTTCGTGAAAGTAAAGCCCGCCCCCGGTGAAGAATGACTGTTTCTGCAGGAAAGAATTTTGATCAACCACCATGTATATATATACATATGCATATGTATGTATATAAATACATATCAATATATATATATATGTATATATATTATATGTACATACATACATATTCATTGCGACGTGTATGTTGAGTAGATAAGACAATAACTTGGAACATGCAAGCAAGCAAACAAACAAACACATTGTCAAACAGTGAGCAACTAAAGCGCAACAAGTGAAGCAAGCAAACCACCTGCAAGCACAAATAGGTCAGCAGTCCATCCTAGATCCAACTTAGCTATTTTATCCTTTCACATGTGCACACCCAAGAAGGAAATCACAGAAGTACAGATTTGAAAGCAATACTCGAATTTCCCGCCGCCAGGGTTGCAATGGTGGGACAGTGGTCAGTCTTTTTGCTTGACACTCTCCTTGAATGGTTTCAAAGATACCAAGGAACCTGATTCCCTCTGACTCAGACTCCCAACCATTCTCAGCAGACAGTCTATATATATAAAGTTATCTTCAAGTGCCTAAGTCTTGAGGATAGCAGTGCTGCATCAGCGACCAGTTCAGAATTTCGCCAAGCTGAAGCTGAAAAGAAAGCTCTGGAAGAACTCATGGGCAAGGTGCCGGTCACTGACTTTGGTGAACCAACATCTCTGGGAAGCATGAACCCCGGCTGCGGAAACTCCGTGATTTTCAACGGCTATTGGACGGGACCCACTTTTCTTTGCCGCAGCTATAACTGGATAATTTGGTTGTGATCTTAACGCGTCTGATAATTTTTCTGGATGGCAACATCGATGTGTTTAGGGCTGACAAGTGACAATCATATAGGGCAGCTTGGAGAGTTGCTGTCGCAAAGACATGCTTTTTTGGAAAGAAAACATATCATGATGAAGCGACTTTTCCGCCTAGCCACACGGCCCTATTCTTGATTCCAAGTGGTCCTTTGGTTCCTTCATTCTCACCGTTATTCATGTTATTGACTGTTATTGCTTGCTGATATTTTTGCCGTGTATGTGGTCGTGCTGAGGAACCATCCCGTGTCTTGCTCTCCGTGCATGTTCTTCGCCAAGCCCTCCGGGTGCATCCGGGGATTGCAATGTGAGTTCTGTCATTTTCCACATCAAGCGGCGGCTCGTCGACCTGGCCAACAGCCCAGGACGACCTCAACGGGAAAGGGTATCTCGAAATGAGAAGCGCCCTGTGATCACTCATGACAGTACCATGTAAATCATGTAACAATAGAATCAACAAACACATCAGACAACAGCCACAATGGATCACAATGGAACATCATGACAGGTAGATGAATATAGCACATGATGAACAGCAAATGCTTCCTATTCATCCCACAAAGCGGAGGGTGTTTCGATGATCAAGCACCACAATGCTCCGGAGAGCAAAGATACCAATCCCACCTCTCACGCAACAAACGCAAAAACTCAGATGTTGCTGTCCGGAACACAACGTACGGCAGGATCATTCTGCCCGTCTCCGGAGTTGTTTAAAGTTTTCACCATGACGTTCACACATTTGGCCAAATTGTAGACGTGATGAAGCATAGCCAAGTGAAGTCATTTCAGGTGGATGAAAGATGTTTTGATGCAATTTGGTCAGATTCGATCTGATACTCCAGTCAAAAGCGGGTGCGTATGGCCACTGCAGCGGTGGGGGAATGATTCCTGGAACGAATCGGAATGGATAGATTCATGCTTTTCCCTGGAATGATTTGCACTCACGACAAAGAAAGACCCTGGAAACGGAAACATGATCATATGTCACAGGACAGGACCATTCAATATCTAAAGTATTCTAAAGTGTAAGTATCAACGTGTAAGACTCAAGGCGCACACTTTGCAGTACGTTATCTTGTTTGTTGAACAGCCCAAGATACTATTCATTGCTGCTGTTTGCACGGGTGGGTGCGGAATCAGCAATGGCATTTAGTAGATTTTGTGCTTGGATCCGTATTGGTTGCACTGAGTTTGTTGGAAGGAAGAGTGCACTCTCTGTATTGCATTAAAAACACCAAACTGCCGCAAAATTCCTTGGATGATATTGGAAGAGACAAGCTATGACAAAATAAATATGACGCAATTTGATCTAAGAAACAGGGCCAGTTTTTAATTGTCACTCTTGTTTGAAAAGGCCTGTGGGAGCATCTCGAGTCCTCATCCATAGACACTGCTGGTTTGCTTGATGGTATCATTTTTTGGTTTTGGTCTAGATCTTTCAGATCTTTCATACGCTACCCGTGGCTGAATCTCTGAATCAAACCTCCTCCATCCTCGCCAGTGTCGCTTGCAGGTCTGGGCCCACCCGCAGCACTTCGCACACCACGCACTGCACACAAAATCTGCAGGCGGGACCAACAGCATCGAGTGCTTTGCGTGTGGTTTGCACAGGCCGAAAGTCCAGTCATCGCTCTGGGGAAAGAAATGGCCGATTTTCTTGCTTTCCAGAACCATCATGGAATAGGAGAAAACATAAGCAGACAAGCAGCTATCATCAGCTATCTATTGCTCACATGCTGACCAAGGTAGTAGTCCGTGTGAGCAGGAATAACAAAACATCAATGTTGCTGTCCCATGCTTTCCCCCGATCTTGGGAATCTCGAGTTGAGCTGTTGCCATGGACCCTGAACTAGGCCGGCACCAGTGAACGACCCGCTGGAAAGCCTTCAGCGATTGGCTGGGGAGACTCAGCCACATGGGAAGGGCATGACAGGTCTCATGAGCGATCGGCAAAGGGCCTGTGGATGTTGGTAGTGATTTTCCTTCAACTAGGGCTCAGGTTTCATTGAACATTTGTTGGTTGTTTTTTTTCTTGAAAAGAACAACTGGCAGAGGTCAAACTATGACAGCTGCTGACTGCAAAACATGCAGGGTATTTTGCTTGTCAGCATGGGGTGTATTGATTCGGTGGCAGTGTCAGGGGAAGTGTATAGTGGATGATAGGGGATGGATGTTGTAGAACCGAGATTCGCATTGAGAGGGCTCCCAAACCAAAGAGATTGAACCGCAAAGATCAAAACTGACTTTGTGAGTGCTTCATATTTCTAGGAAGGGCTATTTTTTTTTGGACCTTTTTTTCCCGTTTTTTTTAAAACTATTTCTGTTTCCCTGCTTCTTTGCTTTTCTGCTTTTTTTTTTGCTTTTCTGCTTTTCTGCTTTTTTGCCTTTCTGCTTTTCTCTGCGTCTCTGCTTTTATAGTTCTTTGCTTCTCTGCTTCTCCACTTTTCTGCTTCTTTGCCTCTTTGCTTCTTTGCTTCTCTGCTTCTCCACTGTGCTGCCTCTCTGCTTCTTTGCTTCTCTGCTTCTCTTCTGTGCTGCCTCTCTGCTTCTTTGCTTTTCTGCTTTTCCCTGCTTTTCTGATTTTCATTAATCATAAATACACCCCAAACCAACCAAAGAAACACTGAAGCAACTCTAAGTAAACCCTAAACTTTCCAAATAAATTTGAAACTAATCCTAAATCAACCTTACACCAGCCCTAAATAGATCTCAAACCATACCTAAATAAATCTTAAGCCAACGCTAAACACACCTTAAACCAATCCTGAATCGGTCCTACACCAACTCTAGATAGATCCTAAACCAAGCCTGGATAAATCCTAAAAGCACCTTAAACCAGCCCCAAATAGATGCTCACCCAAGCCTAAATAAACCGTAAACCAACCCTTAGTAGATTTAAATCCCGGCCTAAAAAGATCCTAAACCAACCCTCAACAAACCTTAAACCAATCCTAAATAGGTCCTAAACCAATCCTAAATATATCTTAAACCAAACCTAAATAAGACCTAAAACACACCCTAAAAAGATCCTAAACTAACAATTGAAAAAACCTATAGTTAAATAAACCCTAATTCTAAAACCAACCCTTGAAACGGCAGCTTCCAGCTCCAACATGTTCACCAAATGCTGCAAATTCTATGGAAAATGAGAGGTTCCATCTCCAAAATGTCGCAAAGACAGTTGAAATGGCAGCTTCCAGCTCCAAAATGCTGCAAAAAGCAAGGAAAACGGGCAGAAAAACAGATTTTAAAGATATCTAAAACAGAAAACGTAATTCCCAAAACAATTCTGGACCCTATTTCTCGAGGCAGACCTTGTTTCAGTGTGAGGCCTCCATTGGGGTATCCAGTGAGAACTTGGAGCGTCCAGTTTCACTGGCCAGTTTCGCAGCTGACGACATCCCACTGGTATAGATGACAACTATAAATATAAATAAATATATGTATGTATGTATATAGTACTATAACTTATATATATATAGATAACACTATATGTATATATAGTATATATATATAGAATACAAGTGTGTATAATATATATATATATATATATACATATTTACATATGACGTAAGTTACAAATCTGGATCACATCATGTATAAGATGCCTGTTGCCAGTGGATTACATTCTGCCAATTGGACATCCCGTCATGACGCAGTTGTTTCACATTGCGAAAGTTCAGCCATCGTGGCTGTCAAGGCTGACGTTGTTGAAATGAGATCTGAAAACCAGTGCTATGCCTTTTTCATGCTGCGATGTATTGTCAATATCTCCAGACACACCTAGATTCCACCATCATAGAATTGGATGATGGGAAAATTTACAGGAAAGCCCTATATTTGATGGAAAGAAACATGGTTTCCTGTAGATTTTCCCTTAAACCAACCCAATGACACCAGACATGCCGGGGGATGTGTCAACAAAGAATCACTTGTTTGGAGCAATTTGATACCCCACCGAGCTAGGGGAAACAGTTTCTCGTTTCGGGTGGCCTGACCTTCACTTTCACCACGTTTCACTGAGCGACGTGATTTTATATGCGAGAGGAAAACATGGACATGGTCTTTAATCAGCCTTGCCCTTGAACTCAGCATGTTGTTGGTAGAACTGATGGGATTGTGGTGAGGGCAGCTTCGTTTTATTGGAATTCAGTGGATGGAAAAGTGCGTTCTGAGATGTTTCCAGAACATCCGATAATGTTTGAACAAATAGAAAGTAAAAAGGCAAGTCTGGATGGAGTTAAGGCTCAGTCAAGGACCCTGAAGCAATCGAATTCCTATCAGACGAGATCATTCTTTTTCTTCTGGGAGCAAAGTGCACGCTATTTTGGTTGTCAGAATGGGGTGTATTGATTTTTCCGTGGTAGTGTCACGGGAAGTGAATAATTAGTGGATGATAGGGGATTGATGTTGTAGAACCTCTTGAGATTCGCATTGAGAGGGCTCCCAAACCAAACAGAGTGAACCGCAAAGATCAAGATCAAAACTGACTTCTTGACTTCTTCACATTTCTAGAGGCAGACCTCGCTTCATGGCTGAATATGACCGTTTTTGCCAGCTTTGTTGTGGCAATGGCCATCATTGGGGTATCCAGTGAGAACTTGGGGCGTTCAAATATCTTGATTGATCCTACAGCGGGGTGCCTTGGCGGCCCTGCCTTGGCCCTGTCCTGGCCGCTTTGAAACATGATTCACGCAATGCCCTCAGCAAGAGAAAGGTGATTGGGGACCGATAAAGATGGTAAAGAATTGTGCTCTTTAACTCGCGCTGATATTGGCGGCAGCACGCTTAGTGCAAATTCCACCCGTGGGACTTGGAGACGGAACAAATGAACCAATGCTGAGATGACCGACCCCACACCCAATTTTGTGCATGGCATCTCTCCCAGATTGCCTTGTGTCTTGAAGGTCTTCAATGGCTGCAGTGAAGTGTGTTCCCTGCCTGCCAAGGCCTCTGGGCCGGTCCTTACATCCGTAGTATAACTCCAGCTATCCACAAAATGACCTGCTTCATGTGGATGATCACTCGTCATTGATGGGAGAACATTTTTCACAGAGCCGCAGGCGTGCAAGGCTTGCGAAAGATGTTGCGAGAGCTGCGGCTGCTGCGAGGTCTGCAACAGAGGGCATTCAGTTGGTGTACCAAGGCCAAATGATTGAACATGGCAAGATGGCATGCGTCCCAGTTCTCCATAGTTCTCCCATTAACTTTGATGTGGCCCCAATCGGCCGGTCAAGCTTGACGCAGGAGTGCGAGAAGTGCTTGACGCAGTGCGGCAGCTGTGTGGAGCAGCCACTTGGATCCTACGTTGTGGTGGCGCCCTGGCGAATTTCAATGTGACTTGCTGTGACCTGAATTTTTGCGGTGAGTCACCAGACGGCTTAAAAGATTTTTGCGATGATTTGGATCTTGGTTTTCAGTTGCTCAACGAATTCATGTTTTGCTCATGGCACCTTCAGGGAATGCTGGTGAGCCTCACTGAGCTGGTCGTTTGCATCCTGGCCTTCCAGGTGTGGATCAACAGAAGTTGGATTCCAACAATAAAGTAGCTCTAGTGGAAATGTGGAATATTGTGGAATGTTGAGGCTTGGGGTCTTGAAGTCTTATACAATTTCGGAACATACCCGAAATGAACGCGTACAGAAGCATCGGTCGTGGGCACTTGGCCAATGAGTCAAAACCAGGCTTTTGCATGCATAGAGTTCAATTTGTGATGAAGTGCGGTTCGCATGGCCCGACACAGCAAATTGATAGAAACCTGACAGTGCAAGTTGAGGCAAAACAATCCTTTTTTTGAGGTGGAACTTTGCAAAACAATCCCAACGGTCGGTCGGAGTTTCCAACGGTTGGCCTGTTGCTTAGCTGTTTCCGGCGTTGGTACGCAGAAATTTGGAACTTGACTGGTCGTTTTGCTCCTGGAGATTCAGATTATGTCGCCAGGAGGACTTCAGCCAATGCCAACTTCCTGAGGGCTTTGCGCAGAAGGCCTACTCCAATTACAAGCGGTCAGATATTTTTTCCGTTCAAACATATTCCATCCAACAGCATTTGCCAACCATTGATAACCATGCGCCACACATCTTGTCTGAGGATGTGTGAGAGTATCATGTTGTATCTACATGTCTTTCTAACCCATTCAGTTGATGTTGATTACAAGTACAACGGAGCTCAGACTGAAATGTCAACACCCGAAACCAGCTAACCCATTCAGTTAACGGGCTTTGTCACTTTGGGTCCATAAAGATGTCTCGTTTGCGATCGCTTTGAACAACTCCCATGTCACGATCCGACCTTTCGGTTCCTTTGGAGGTAGGGATGCGCGGATGGTTGAAGGGACAGATGGGCCTTGCTGCCATGATTTTGCGACCGGTGCAAGCCTTGCAAGCACTTGATTTTTCATTTGTGGTTCCCAAGACTCAGGGCATGTGCAAAAATTTACAGCAGGTTTCGCATGGTTGCACTTCATCTTTCCGCCATACCTGCAACATGAACTCCTTCGGAAGTGCCTTGAATGATGACGGCAGTTCGAATCAGGAGCATCTTGGGGTCAAGTTGTGGAAACATATCAATATGGGGTGTGATGGCGTTTCCGCATTACTCAAGTGTTCGGCCTGTCACAAACTTCACTCATGTGATTGGACTCCGACTGGTTACACTGCCATCTCGAAGATCCTGTCCTTGCTGTGAAACAATCGCACAGGTGAAGAAATCGGGATGTTTTGCGACCGGCCAACCTTCATGGCGAGCTGAGGTTGGGCCAGCGTGCTGGTGCCAGGGCCGAAATATCTCAGAAAGAAGTCAAGGATACGCCTGGGCTGCGGTTTAAAAGGGCGGACCGACTAGACTGTTGATGGCTGTTGTAGGTCGCCAACCGACTAGGTCAACTTCAATGTTGTCAGTGGCATTACGAACCTGATCGCAGCATCATGATTGATTGATGTTGTTGAGTCTCTTCAATTTGTCTTGCGTGCTGAACTGCGGCAGCATGCTCTATTGTTTCTGTTGCTCTACTATCACCTGCCAGCTTTTGATTTGTCGAGGAGAGCTTTCACGAAGTCTTCTTAGAAGACATTGGTGTTTGCTTCTACGTTCTTTGACTGCAGTCGCAGTTCGGTTGGGTTTCGGGAGGTAACCTTTTAGTCCACCTTGGTTTGTGTTCTCTTCTAATGGCGGAATCGAAGGCAAGATATCTGTTCATGCTTTTCTTTTGATCAGCATTTCTTTAAAAAATCTTTTTATTCAAAAGCATTCAGTGATATCCTTAAAAGCAAGGGTAGTCCAACGGGTACATTGTTGAATGCACAGTTTGAAGTTTTCTTTTACTGTAAAAACATCTCCCTCTGTATCTCATGTATGCTTAGAGACATGTAATCTGTAGCTTGACTTCTAAATACTGATCTCCTTAGTTGATACCTCATTGATCTGACACTCATCTTACTTGGTTGGTTTGTTTCTTCCAAAACCTGATGCTGAGCTCGAGACTTCTGTGTGAGGTTTTTGCTTGG